CCGAGATAAAGTGTAGCGGAAAAAATCCGTCTCACTCAAGGGTCGAATGAGCGATACTTGGTATTGAGTCATGCGGGCGCACACATGATTTTTGAACCTATCACGTTTTATACACATTCTACACTGTTGTTTCAACGTACTCTCAGTTAAAGAAAGGTCATACAAAACACGGATTTTTTGTTAGTTATTTCCTCATTTGGTTCACTTGATCAGTAACGATTATAAATACTAAAACCAATTATTAAAATTGAAACTGAGAAAAGAAACACAAGTATTTTTTTTAAAGAATTTCTTAATACGTGTTGTGTTACATAAGTACAGTATTAACTTTTATGTATGACATGAATGAATAAATGATGCATGTATATATTCTCTACAGATTGAGTTTTCGGAACATTATCTGTTCATTATTTCAAAAAGTGTCGGGGGTGAATGTTTAATGTTTGTTTGTTCTTTTTTTTTCTTGTTTTTAGTCGTGAACATTGACTATGAACTGGCTACAGGTATGTTTCAATAACACTATTATATATATTATTTAAGACATTTATGGCATGCAATGCAAAATATTTTTACAATTTGAAATGCTTGCATCTTAGTGACAGATTTCTTTATGATTATGATGATCAATTCTGAAGCCATTGCAGTATTGTTTATAATATAATTAAACTCAGTCATAGTATATTTTGTTGTACCACAATTTATATTTTTACAACAAAATATATCAAGCTAAAAGTTAATTTCAATCAGAAAGTATAAAAGACGTTCTTTAGGGGAAAATATCAAAATTTAAGTGGCATAATGCTCATTTTTTCATTGTAAAGATTCGCTGAATATAGCTGACTATATAATTTCAAAAGATTAACTATTATTATGCAGATTGACCAATATTTGAAAAGATGATTAGGATAAAATATGAATCTGCCTAAAAGACAAAAAGACTGTCCACGCTTTTTATGATTTAAACGTTATAGGTAAATTGTGATGGATATCTATATATATTCCATGCTGTATGTGAGTTATTTATCTTTCATGCGAAGTAAACTATAGAAAAGATGAGAATCGTGTCAAACGTTAACTTTGAACATTAACCTTTTCATTCACAATATACCGTTGGATGGACATAATCGCACTCTTTTTAAGAGGATAATAATCGCACTTGTCATAGAACTAATGCTTTATTTTCTGATAACTAGGATTTAATAGATAAACTAAATTAATCTATTTAAACCTTTTAATTCCTTTCATTCATATACAAATAATTGCTGCGTTAGTCTGTATTAAATTTCAGTTCTCCCTTGCCTTAAGTATAATTTCCAAAGGAAAAAATATATTATCAGATGATTATGTTTACACCCATGAACCGGTTGCGAGTAGACCAGTTCGTTACCGTAAAAACAGCTGTGCGCTATTTTTGACAGGATTCACCTTCAGTAAGTTTTTTTGTCATTCCTGCAAACGATTGCTGCACAAAAGTATCACAGATAATACTGTCTTTTAATAATGACATCAAAGAACATACCTTGTGCATCCGGTTTAAAACTAGCATATATCTAGTACGTTATGGCGCGTTCAATATGTAGTTTTGGGGTTTGGGTAAAAAAACAAAAACGTACACTCATTGCAATGAAGCTATTTCAAACGGAACAAAATGTTTCCTCCTAGCATTCCAATGCCGCAACCATTTTATCAAATCTTATCAAATATGAAAATATTCATAGCTCTGTGAACATTGTTTTTTATTGGTAAGTATGACAGCACAAACTTAGACAAACAATATATTGTACACAATAGATGTGTTAATGTAATAAATCGCATTTAATGACGGTTTTCATGTTATTTTCAATAGAAGCATATATTTAAATCAGCACGATATACTTGAAGAACGTCATCACAAAATACTTTCTTCTTTTATGTCACTTTTTCAAGGCATAACTTTCTTTGATATATTTTGCAACTGACTGCTGCAAGAATAAAAAGTGCAAATCTTGTAAAAAAATAACGCATATAACCAGCTGTTGTACACGCAACCGGTTTACAGTCGTGATGTGATGTGTTATATATAAATGTAGTGCTAACCTTTCCTGTTTTGCAAATTTCAGAATTGATTCTAAATCATGATGAACAAAACCTCAACAAATATGAAGGTAGGATTTAGCATATTGTCTTGAACGCCTAAACCACACATGTTTGCATGGTTGATAATGTAAAAATAACACTTTTCGAAAAGTAATAGTGCATATAAGCATTTACACCTGATAACCTCACATAACACCGAGGCTTCACAGGGAGTGCATTTTCAGTTCAAGCATTGCTAATATGCACTATTGTCCTGACCGTCGTGTTATTTTTCATTATATCGAACAAACATTTTAATGTAATTGTTCACCTTTATGTATTATTACTCCAAGAGCCATTCAATTAATATTGATTTTATGAGGGGAGACAACTAGAACATTACCTTTTCTCAAGTCTATATAGATTACCCTAGCCTGGAGAATAGTAAATAAAATTGACGGGTGAAACAACACATTGTGACGTTGAAAGGTCCTGAAATACAATTACAATCATTGCCATTAAACTAACGTTCTAAGATATCATAGAGCAAGTGAATTACTGTTAAATGAAAAAAAAAATATAAAAAACAAAAACAATAGACATGCACTTTTTGATAGAAAGGTGTATAGTTTGTTATTAGTAATCTATCATTCTTGCTTAAATATCTGACATGAACTAAATGCGTTGTCATATTTCATATACAAGTTATTATTTAATTACAGATGAGGACTTAACTTGGTATATCCTTGACTGTCAGCGGATACTGGAAGTCGTAATTATTGAGCTGAATACCTCATCCGCAGTAAGTTGAGCATGCAAGTACTCATCCTCGGTAACCCAGGCTATTTACCGTTTACCATAACATTGAATGTAGTATATACTGAATGTGTACCGGGGTTTTCGACGATGGCACGTACTTACCATATTCTTTACCCCGTTATGACGAAACATGCAAGATTTTATTAGGTACCCGTCTGATATCTGAGCAGTCCGAACAGGCACATACAGTTTGAATCAAATGAATCATATTTTTTTTGAGTGGCGGCTTGACCGACTAAATAAAGCGTCGGACAAGTAATCGAAATATCACATATCAAACCACTTAAGAGGGAAATCGTTGTTTCTTTGAGCAAGAAGCTTAACACCCATTGACTAATACTGGTTGATTCTAGGAATGGACTCGACATTGTTTCAATAAGCTTTTACCTTTCAACACAATCGATCTTACATAATTATTAATAAACTAAATCATATTGCATTTATTGACCACTGCTTCAAAACATTAGACAAACTAGTTAATGGTTATATAAATATATCATTATAAACATTGCTTGTTTTATATGATTTCACCTAATTCATGCAGCATGAGACAACATTTTATATCTTCATCATTAGACGCCGCGTGCACACGGCGTCTAGTAGATATGCATTCGTTCAGTTAGGAATGGGGAAAATTTTAGTCCTGTTTATGTTAAATTTTTTGTTCTAACAAAATCATACATTTTTCAAAGTTTCGGATAAAAATAGCTTTTCTGATGATCAAGCGTCATGGAATGAAATAAACGTTCAACAAAAATGATACTTCCATGGTTAAATATCACATTCTTTTAATTTTTATCTTTTTTCATAATTTACCAATAAAATAACGTGCAAATGAGTCAGTCTTTATTCTTAAGCAGAAAATTATAAGCGAAATATCCTCGGTTATTATCTATATCCACAAGAAAGGCCGAAAAGTTGCGGTTGAGGAAATTAGCGTATAATCAACGTAATTCCTTCAATTACCGTAATGCATTTTCAATCTTTATTTAGTGGTCATTGTATCGACGATATATAGAATATATTTTACAACAAACACGGAAAAGTGTATACTTACATTTTGAAAATAATAAAAATGGGTTGAATTGAAAATGTTAAATTTAGTATACAATCACTTAATTATGCCTCGGTCAGTCGGGGAATATTTCTTGACACTGTAGGCTAGGTGAATTTTGGTAATTTGTTTAACCCTAATACACTGTTAGGTTTTAAACCACACGTGTAAGCTATTTTCGCGAAAACAAGTTCGCGGCTACGAAAATCAGATTTATTTTTGAAATAGTGCATTTATCTGTTTAAATAATTATGTTAATCATATATTTATGTAAAAAATGCAGTCTGAGCCGAAAATATATACGTATGAAAATACCTCAAATGGCCGTGTGAAGCGAAAACAAGATCGGGTCTACAAATTGAATGTATTTAAAACGTATTTTTGTTGTTATTAATTCTTAATAAAAATTATGAACCATGTTTACAAATCTTATTTTCGTGTAGTTGCCTTCTTGGGTTATTTAAGCATGCATGATTTATATACTGTATTTACTGAAACATGGTCAGCTCGGCCTCTAAACGTGCCCTCCCCCCGAGTCAGCTCGTTCCTATTTCAACTCGGCACGGGTCAACTCGGCCCATAATTATATATTACTAGCAATGATTTCTTATATTACTTTTGTATGTTTTCATCATAACTTCCATTGTTCAACATTTTCACAGTAACAGACCTCTACTCAAGTATATTGAAAAGGTTGATTGATGACAGTACCAATTTGTATGTGAATTTTGAGAAAGGAAGAATTAACAATTATATGCATGTTTTATCTTCTACAGATTTTTTTTTCTTTTCTTTTTTAAATAACATTAAAACAACATTGGTCGTATTAAAGAATAAACAGTGTTAAAAAACACAACATTTATTGTCATAACATTCAATCTATAAAAACTTTATTTATGGATCAATATTTAAAATATATAGTCTTGATATCTCTTCTTAACAAAGATAATTTCAAACAATACGTACATGCACGGAGCTAATTTGTACATATATCTGTGGTACATGTACACTGCCAACTTTTTCAATTTCTGATCGTACTTCTGAATACTTTGATAGTAATTTACTCCTTACTCCTTATATAGGTTTTTAAAAGAGGGCCGAGTTGACCTGTGCCGAGTTGACCCGTGCCAAGTTGGTATAGGGCCGAGTTGACCCTTTACCGTATATACTATTTGGGTAATTTACCATATTTACCGAACAAACGTGTACTATTTCATTACAATATTATTTCATTCATATATACAAATTATTTAATAAAACAAAAATCCGTTTAAAAGCTAGTTTATTTCTCTACCTCTGTTTTTGTCTTCAATTTATTCTAAGTATACCAATCATTTCATTTTTATTTGATACCCAATTTATTTTGTCAAAACAGACAACCATTGTTTACTGATTATTCAGAATTTCTGACATGGCATTACTTTGCGAATTTATGTATTAGGTTGTAGACCAAGGCGACCCTGGTTCGATTCCCGGCATCGGAACACACTTGTGTTCTCAAGTTTGTTTTCGTCTTCATTTATTAAACAAGCAGCACATACCATAAAAAATTGATTACTGCTTCGGATATTCAACTGCAGAGAGCAATTTGCTGATTTTGTACATTACTTATGACTGTTCACATCATTTTGCGGCGTCTTTGGTGTGCAGCATCAACATTTAACTTGTTTATTGCTTAAATAATCGCATTGTACTTTCAATACATCATAAAGCAAATTTTACAATTGCAACACAGAATTTGATTTTAAAGGATGGAGCACGGCAGTTATCAATTTTTTTCTTACATTAATATATCATTCGGTGTGATGTGACCTTTTATTAAAACTTGCTTGTAAATATATTTTGCAAAGAAGTCAGCGCCTGCTAAACTAATTAGACTTTCGTCCCCTCAGTGACGAAACGGGTTAACTCCTAGTAAATTTAGAAAGACTTATCTCATTACTGTACTAATTTGACGATATCTGTATAACCCAATACCATTTACATCTTGTTCCGAGCTGCCTATGGCTATTCAGAACCCAGTGTTTAAAACTTAATTGATCATATAGCCGCAAAAATACGGCACTATTTGAAGAATGGTGGTATTGTATGCAAAAGTTGTACCTATCTTTTCTTGTAGTTTTATTGTTATGTCAGTGATGTACCACGACTGCGTTTTTGGGAAATGTTTAAATGTAACATTGATAGCGTCACAAAACACAGTATTCCTGTCAAAATATACTTCAGGTAAGGAAAGTGTTCTTTTACAATTGTTCAGCTACTGATTCTATTAAATCATATATTGTATGAAAGCTGCATCGCATATATGTATAATTATACGTAAATGGTTTTCTTCGTTTAAATTGCGTCATCTTTTTTTACGTGCGTATGTTACCCCCGCGTCGTTAAAAACAGTTGAAAATTGCTGTTTTCTCCCACTTTAAGGGATTTAATAAGAATTTTTTTGTTGTTCATGCCATATATATCACAAGTCACTCAACTTCTTTCTTACTTCTGTTCAGCTTCTTTCGCAGGTCGAAACTGAATTCACCTTTGCTATTATCTGGGCCCACTTTTTGTTTTCTTTTCATTTGTGATTATTTAGAAAAGTTGCTGAAAAAAACTTTGCTCACTTTTCTCTCTTGCAAGTACCTCAAGTTCATTTGTAGAAAAAAATTGTCCTCAATTTTCTAGACTCCGCCATTTTTTAAAAGTTATTTCAACTATGATATAAAATACTGCAAAAATATGTGTGCATCAATGTCAAAACCAGGCTATGCTATTATTGTTTCTACTCAAAATGTTTGAAATATGTATAAAAATGTTACCCTGCCCCACACATTTTAAATAGTTGTTTGAACATTTTTCTACTTGGAGTGCCTTGTTCAAAATACCCCTAAAATTTATTTTTCAAAGTGAGGGCCTGTTTACCAAGATTGTCGAAATTTTCTAAAAAGTACATGTAAATTGGTTGGTCTTGTCAGTTATAAAATACTTTTACCGTCAAGTGTTTATTTTATTAGACTTTGAAAATTTCAGGTACCATATTTGATAATAAATTTGGCATAATTTAGCCAATAAATACCGATAATAATTTTATAATTAAAATGAAACACTTTTTCTTATCAAGAGTGATACGAGAGGCATGTAAATAGTATTTAAAGTAAAAGTATGGAGGGTGATTTATGCCAAAATTACATCTTGCTTTCTTACGTTACATCTTGCTTTCTAACTTGTACATCGTGCTTTCTAACTTGTACATTATGCATTCTGACAGTTACATCTTGCATTCTGACTTTTACATGTTGCTTTCTTACATGCACATTATGCTTTCTGCTGTGTGCGACTTGCTTAATTTTATGTTGATGTCGTTTTTTAACGATCAATTATTATTCTTTTGTTGATCTGGTATATTAATTCAATAAATTAACCTGCAACTGTTTGTATTTGGGTCTATTTACTCAGCTTGAATGACGAATGTCATAAGGTAGAATGACGCATAGCCGAAAGCCGAATGCAGCAAGCATAATACAACGCGACATCTGGTGTAATAATATGTGACACCCAAATTATGCTAACAGGTGGCGCTACAGTTATATTCTCGGTAAAGTCCGTATTGCGGTTCGGATTCAGTTTACCAAGTTACGTCCCTTTGTTTTAAAATTTCCATTTGCACTCATGGAGAAAATATAAAAAACGATTTAACCAATATTTATATTTATTAATGAAACTCTGTAGGTCAAATTATATTTCCAGCTGACAATGACAAGTTGCACATTTCCAAATCAATGGTTTTAGAATTTTTTTTTCATCAACAAAATAATTATAAAATAAAACAGTTGTTCAACATTGTTCAAAGTGCTTGGGCCATAAAAAACTTCTTATTAAAATATTTCATCCTCTTGAAAAGTTCTTAAATTTTGACATGGCTTATTTCCAATACCTGTGACCATCCACGACATTTTTAATGTGTTTTTATTAATTAGGACATTTTCTTGCCTATTTTCAAACTAATTTTGTATACTTATTTTGTCGGTTGTCCAAACACTGATACTGCCACCTGTGATTTTGTACACACGTTAGATTTTTTAAATTCAACTTGTCAAAAAATGTCTTTTTTTCAATAAGATGCTTTATGAATACGGCCCAGGTTCTTGTTCACAGTGTCAGCTTAAAACTGAAGGAACTGCTGCCAAAATCAGCTGATTCTGAGAAAAAAAATGTCAAAACTGTCTAGTCTGTCAGACTTAAGACAGACTTAAGACCTCTCTTCTTTTGAATTTTTATATCACAGGTACCCTCTCATTTTTTAACACATACGTATACCCACGAGGCACGACATATGCTTTTATTTGCGTTAATCGTTAAGTATGTAATATTTACATAAAAGTAAGAAATATTACATACCTATTTAACGATTAACAACGCAAATAAAAGCATATGTTGTGCCATGAGGGTACTCTGAAAACCCGAAAGTAGGGTGTTTTTATGAATTTTACATTTGTTTTTTACAATATACTGCCATTTGTCCGAACATGATATGTAAATGAACATATTAAATATGTATGATGCATATATAATCAAGCCCACGGTTCATTGCAGCCCGAAAAGTATGTCGAGGTGATCGGCGAGGCAAGACATGTCGATTTTTTGTAGCTTATTGTGAAGTTGCAGTACATAAAAACGGGCACATGTCAAATCAGCACATAAATAAAACATTCTAGTGTTCCGTGGTATATATCTTTTGTACGTGTCAAACCCCCTTTCCTTATTACATTGAAATTTTACTGGATTGTTATCCATCGCTGGTTTGTTTTTAGCAGAGAATGACCTGTGCATGTGAAAAGAGGGTACCGTTTGAGCAGATTCCGATATAGATATGCACCGTGGTGTAGCTTTAGTACGAATGATTTCATAATATTAATTGATGAGTACATTAAAACAAAATGTACAAAATTGGTCCCAAGAAATGGTTACAAAATGAATATTGCATGTTTGGCTGAAGATGCCTTATTAGTAGTTTTCTTTAATTAAAGCGTTCATGATATTGGAAATGTACAGCAGATCTTACTCATTTAAAACAAAAAAGTTTTATACCTTTAAGGCAATAGTATTTGCAATACAAACACCACTGAGAATGTAGAAAAAATGTTTATTAATGTATTCTATGACAAACAATTCATTTGATTTTATAACCATTTCTTGGGACATTTTAGTACGTTTTGTTTTTATGTACGCATCAATTAATATTATGAAATCATTCGTCCTAAAGCTAAACTCTCACAGATTGACAGACTAGATAGTTTTGCCTTTTATTTCTTTTTAGCTCATCTGTCACAAAGTGACAGGGTGAGCTTTTGTGATCGCTTTTCGTCCGGCGTCCGTCCGTCGTCCGTCCGTCCGTCCGTAAACTTTTACTTTAAATGACATCTCCTCATAAACCACTAAGCCAATTTCATCCAAACTTCACAGGAATGTTCCTTTGGTAGTCACCTTTAAAAATTGTTCAAAGAATTTAATTCCATGCAGAACTCTGGTTGCCATGGCAATCGAAAGAAAAAACTTTAAATATCTTCTTTTAAAAAACCCTAAGAGCTAGAGCTTAGATATTTGGCATGAAACATCTTCTAGTGAGTGTCTACCAAGTTTGTTCAAATAAAATCCCTGGGGTCAAAATTGGCCCCGCCCCAGGGGGTCATTGATTTTCCCTATATGCATATAGTAAAAACTTAAAAATTCTTCTTATAAAGAACCCAAAGAGCTAGAGCTAAGATATTCAGCATGAAACATCTTCTAATGAGTGTGTACCAAGTTTGTTCAAATAAAAGCCCTGGGGTCAAAATTGGCCCCGCCCCAGGGGGTCATTGATTTTCCCTATATGCATATAGTAAAAACTTACAAAATCTTCTTTGAAAGAACTCAAAGAGCTAGAGCTAAGATATTCAGCATGAAACATCTTCTAATGGGTGTCTGCCAAGTTTGTTCAAATAAAAGCCGTGGGGTCAAAATTGGCCCCGCCCCTGGGGTCATTGATTTTCCCTATATGCATATAGTAAAAACTTAAAAAATCTTCTTTGAAAAAACCCAAATAGCTAGAGTTTAGATATTAAGCATGAAACATCTTCTAGTAAATGTCTACAAAGATTGTTCAAATAAAAGCCCTGGGGTCAAAACTGGCCCCGCCCCAGGGGTGTCATTGTTTTTAACTATATGTGTGTAGTAAAAACTTAAAAATCTTCTTTTAAAAAACCCAATGAGCTAGAGCTTAGATGTTTAGCATGAAATATTTTCTTATGGATATCTACCAAGTTTGTTCAAATAAAACCCCTTGGGTGAAAAAATTGGCCCTGCCAGTGAGATCATTGTTTTTCATTACATGTGTGTTGTAAAAACTTAACATGGTGAAACATCTTCTAATGAGTGTCTTCCAAGTATGTTCAAATAAAAGCCCTGGGGGTTTAACTGGCCCCGCTCCGGGGGCCTATATACAGGTGAGCGACCTCAGGGCCATCATGGCCCTCTTGTTTTTCTCAGAATCAGCTGATTTTGGCAGCAGTTCCTTCAGTTTTAAGCTGACATTGTGAGCAAGAACCTGGGCCGTATTCTTAAAGCATCTTAGTGAATAATTTCAACTTAGTGAAAAAAGACATTTTTTCTAAAACCATTGATTTGGAAATGTGCAACTTGTCATTGTCAGCTGGAAATATAATTTGACCTACAGAGTTTCATTAATAAATATAAATATTGGTTAAATCGTTTTTTATATTTTCTCCATGAGTGCAAATGGAAATTTTAAAACAAAGGGACGTAACTTGGTAAACTGATTCCGAACCGCAATACGGACTTTACCGAGAATATAACTGTAGCGCCACCTGTTAGCATAATTTGGGTGTCACATATTATTACACCAGATGTCGCGTTGTATTATGCTTGCTGCATTCGGCTTTCGGCTATGCGCATTCTACCTTATGACATTCGTCATTCAAGCTGAGTAAATAGACCCAAATACAAAAAGTTGCAGGTTAATTTATTGAATTAATATACCAGATCAACAAATGAATAATAATTGATCGTTAAATACCGACATCAACATAAAATTATGCAAGTCGCACACAACAGAAAGCATAATGTGCATGTAAGAAAGCAACATGTAAAAGTCAGAATGCAAGATGTATATGTCAGAATGCATAATGTACAAGTTAGAAAGAACGACCCAGCAAACATTACATATAGGACCGATGTCGGCC